TTTGCCAACCAGAGGAGTTTTGATTATAACACGTCGAGCTGGTAAATTTACGCCTGCTGCTAGAGTTGATGTACAGCATATCACATTTATCACGCCGTCCTAGTAAAAAATCACCATTTTTTTTTTTTTGAAATAACACAGGAATTTCAATTACAAAAAAACACAACAAATTTTCCGAGAAAATGCGGGAATTTCAACTACAGAAGAACAAAAAATAACAAATTTTTCGAGATATTACAGGGATTTCAACTACAAAAAAGCATAAAATAACAAATTTTTTTCGCGATAATAGTTGAAATTCTTTTTAATACAGGGTTTTCAACTACAAAAAGAAATAAAATAACAATTTTTTTTGAGATAATAGAGGAATTTAATTTTAAAAAAAGTAAGATAACGTATTTTCTGAGACAATACAAGGATTTCAATTAAAAAAAAAATCCCTTACACGTAAAGGGTGCAAAAATACCTGAAAAGCATTTTCGACAATTCTCCTTTCATCGGCCGTTAAACCACTATGATGATAGGCAACGCCACGCAAAAAACTCTTCTCAAGCAAAGCGCAAAGTTTTCCATCTTGTTCTTCCCGTAACGCTTCTAACGCACATAATCTTTCAGCCTTTTTACGCTCTCGAACATTCCTAAAATGCATCTACTTTTCACAGCAATATTATGCATAAGAGAAGATTAAATGGTCACCGGATTTTGGATCGACGCCGTCTTATGGACGGCCTATTCAGAGTCATCCAGCACCGATACAGCCCTTACTTTTCCGAATACCTTCCGCCCACAGGGCCTAAACGGCCCGTGGGGTCTTTTACTTGACTATTTGGCACGGATGTCAGATAACAGATGGACGAAGCGGATAATGGAGTGGTATTCGCTCACAGTCAAGCGAACACTGGGGAGACCACCAATGAGATGGAGAGACTTTGTGATACGCCTGTATGCTATCACGTGGACTCGGAAAGCTCAACAACGAGTTGAATGGAGAAATTGCCAGTGCTACATCGATGGCGCGTGACAACGAACGTCGACGGCATACAGCTGCTTAAGTATTCAAGTATTATGCATAAAATAGTGGTTATTTCAATATAATCAATGATATCCCTAGTACCGTGACTTCTGAAAAATGCAACGGCTCATTTCCTAACCCAATATATACCATTTTTGCACTAGTTCCGTACCCGTAATTTTAATTTGAATTTTAGTTGGTATGTGTTTATATGTAAGATGTAGGGAAATAAAAAAGGGAAATGTGAATAAATTAAAATTAAAATCTGAATGGGAATGTTTCGGTCCATTAAGTCGCATACATTCCTGTTCAGTGCTGCAATTGGACCTCGTCAGTGTAACGGCTGCAGCAAAGTAGCGTGCAGTGTGCCAAAAAACGAAAAGGAAAGTTAAAACAAAAAGGGTTAAAGCAAAAGTTGAAAGTGCATTATAAGAATTACCTCCACCATTACGTATTGGTTTGTTTTCCCGTATGTTTTGCGCAACAACTCATGAAATTTCATTTATTGAAGAAACTCATCGAACAGTTCTTCTTTAAAATAAAAAAAAAAAAGAAAAACAAACAAACTTTGGCATGAGGCGTGCAAGCATTCCGCAAACATTTTCACAGTTCAGTTTTGTTGGGCAAAAAATCAGAACCGATCTCCTAGGTAACACATCACTCAAAAGAGGTACCAATCCTTCGGGATCACTTCTCACCAATTTCTGCAAAAACATTCAAACATATGAAGTTAACTGCATCAAAAATACTTGAAAAAATAGTCAGTTTGAGCGGAAAACTGGTAAAAAAATAGCCACTTTGAAGGGAAAATTGATTTTTCTACGGTTGAAAAAGATACATTTTCGCCTAAATCCGACTGGAATTCCAATTTTCTATCCGCAGTGACCAAATAAAGTGAGCTGCCAATTTTCACTTTTTCAATCAGTCGTACCTGAAAAACATTCAAAGAAGTGGGAATTGATTCTATCAGGCCAAAATACTTGATACATACGTAAATTCATTAAGAAACGAACAAAACATACCGCGCCTAATTTCTGAAATTTTCAAACATCGCACCAATCAAATACTACTTGAATACTTGAGCAGCTGTTAATGTCATCGACGTCCGTTGTTGTCGCGCCATCGATGCAGCACTGGCAATTTGCCCATTCGATTCGTTGTTGCGCTCTCCGAGTCTATGCGATACCTTACAGGCGTACCATGGGGTCTCACCAACTCACTGGTGGCCTTCCCAGTGTTCGCTTGACTGTGTGCGCGGATGCCATTCCATTATCCACTTCGTCCATCTATTATCTGTCATCCGTGTCATATGACCAGCCTACCTCTTCTTGCTGGCTTATATATTGCTCCGATAATAGTCCTTCAAGCCAGATCTGGCTAGAAGCACTTCATGCGGAATGCGCTGCAGCCTGCTACTAATCAAACAACGATGTGAAAAATTAGTCCGGTGCTTACGGGTCGAAATTCGGTTGAAAATACCGAAGCACAGAGAAATCTCGCAAGTTGTTCGATGTTCGAAAGTGTCGCTGATAAACCGATTATTTGACCAGATCCTAAAAATGGCTAATAATGTAGATGGGGGAAGAAAAATCGCCAGAAGCCAGCTGAAAAAAGGCCAAAAAAAGACAAAATCCCAAATGAGAAAAAAGTAAAAACCTTTGTGCATGTACTTGAGAAGTGTTTGTTCAATAGCTGCACCACGAACTTCCTCGCCAATCATATGTAGCTGCAAATTGACTTTATTTATTTAATTTGCATAAAACAAAAAATGCACTGTGGCGAGAATAAGCCTCTCCTTGCGCATTTGTGTATAAATTTGACAAATTCAGTATGAAATAACAGAGTGGGAGATCAAAGATCAGTCTAAAGGTCAATTATGAAGGTTGGAAGTTAAATAATAGCTCCTTCAAACAGTCAAAAACTAATCAACATTCAAACCTATAAGTGTTTATTCCGGCCAAAATGTGGCTCGTTTTTCTAACAAATAACAAGCAAGTAACGAATGAATTTTAAAATTCGAACAATTGCTGCTTGCTAAATTGCCCAAAAACTTTTTTTTTCGCTTTAATACTTCATGAGTTGTGGCGTCACAAAAAATGTGATAATAAAAAACAAGATGCATCGGACACACACACACCCACACACACACACACACCCACACACACACACACACACCCACATATATGCACACACACATACAACCCCATGACACGTTTTTTGCTGCCGTTGCTCAGCATAAAACGCTAAAAAAAAATAAAGAAAA